TGAGCTTCCTGAGGTGTTGCCAAGAAAACTGCTATAGGGGTTATATAGGGTTTAGGGTTTAGGGTTTAGGGAATACATTGGGGTTATATAGGGATAATGGAAAAGAACATGGAAGCTACTAGGGGTTTACGGTTTAGGGTTTAGGGTTAATATAGGGGTAATGGAAAAGAAAATGGAAGCCACTAGGGGTTTCCGGTTTAGGGTTTAGGGTTAATATAGGGATAATGGAAAAGAAAATGGAAACTGCTATATTATAATCGGGTATATATTGGGGTTGTTTGGGGGGGTTACATTAATGTTTTTTGGTGGCTGAACCTAGTAAGATACTATTCCTTATATAAAATACTATACCCCAAAAGGAGGATATGATCTTACTCCATATTGGTTACCATAGTATCCCCAAATAGAATACTACTCAACTGGAATGTGTGTCGCCACGCTTGAAGATTCAAGTTGCTTCCTCGAAGGCGTACCTCCTTTCCATTGGTTGAGCGACATACAATAAGTCACTTAGTACTTTGTGTACTAGCCGTGAGCATGCCGGAATGCCAAGCCCCGCAAAGCCCATAGAACCAAAAAGCTGTTCGTGAAGAAGTTCTTGAACGCGCCACAAGTAGTAGCAATCAAACTGAAAGGAGTAGCAGGAGCATGCGTCGCACGCCTTCCCAATCCTGCGACAACACTGACGGTGGCGGCTGCCAACTGAATTAAAGTCTAAAGCGAGCGACAGTAGCAACAGTCAAATGAGCTACGGTAGCAACAGTCAAATGAGCTACGGTCAATATTTCCGACATAGGTTAATGGACATGTGTTCCTTGTTGAACGGTTATATCAGGGGATGCACTAACTACAAGAAGGATTCCTATGTCCACCCTTGTTTGTCCCTTGGTAAATATAACGAAGCAAGGGTAGTATTACCCTAGGGCTCCAGTTCTGTATACCCTATCGTTACATGGCCCAGTAACCTACTATTTAGGTAACTGGGAGCCTTAGGGGTAACTACTCTCAAAAGGACACGGTGCATGGCCTGGTGATGGGCGTGGATCGGCTCGTCGTCGGACTCATCCTCTTCCAGCCTGGGCGACGTGCGGCTCGTCTGAGGTTATAGTCCCTCTTAGGTAGATAGAATGTGGCTTTGAGTGTATTATACTAAGATCCCTATATACCCCATAGTCTACCTACTTAAGGGGGACTATAGGGACTCGGGCTCAAAAACTAGGATTGAAGGATCAGATTAGGGCTCGGGGTCCAAGTCCTATAGGTTGGGAGTACGAGCCCTCAGCAGGAACCCTTAGCCTCTTTGGGGGAAATTCTAGGGGCGGTCGCGGATGTTTTCCAGGTATCCAGGAAACCGGTGCTCATACTAGGGGCACATGTTTGTTATCTGAGGGGTTGGGCGGGTTGGGGACATTGGGGTTTGAGGGTGGATCGGGGGTGTGGAATTTGTCGGCTGCGGCAGGGAAAAGTTGCGGAAGATGCACGGGTTGCGAAAGGGTTGGGGTAGTTTGCAAGGGTAGCTTTACATTGCTGCGCTGCTGCTTGGGTCTAAACCCTGCTAAACTTTTAAACCGCCCTCAGAGGTACTTGTGAGCTGAATCCATGAGCGATTTGCAGTTTACGACGGGGACATGTCGTGGACGTCTGTGTTCGCGATGGACCGTGCCACTACTGTCGAAATCCTGTGAGCTTCTAAACAAAAGGATTCAATTTGCTCTTGCAGCCGCCATTAACAGCCCTCTCCATCCAAACCCTAACCCCAAAACTTTTACACGGTAGATCCTGGAAAAAGCTACGGTCAGGCATTTGGGCAATCCGTGTCTGAGGAACCCTACTGGGAGTTCATGTGCAACAAAACTCCCAGAGATATTCCTTACAGCTTGCCAGTGCCGCTCAAGCTCTCCAAAAGCAAAAGTTCCTCCATTTTCCAAACTGCCCCATTTGACTCCAAAAGACCCGCTGACCCCCTGATCCTCTTTTGATGCCCTTATGGTCCCATGTAGTATGCGCAGCTGTGTGCAAGATGGTCGTTTGACCCGTTAGCCCTGACATGCTCCGTCGTGTTGCCTAATATGCGAAAAGTCTGTACCTAGACCTCCAACATACCCATGATAACAGCCCATATACCCGTCATTTGGGGGTCAAGGGCTGCTATTTTTATTCCTAAGATTATTCAAAACCAGTCTTGGAAATGGGGCCTCGACATATTGCGATAGTGTTGCTATTCTTATCTTTACGGGTATTTGGGGAGGCCAAGTACACGCTATGTTGCACAGTCCGCGGTAACCGCCGGGCAGCTCCAGGCGCAAGTTTTCTGGCAGCTCTTGTTGCCCCACCTGGGATTAGTGAGGTTTCCGGCAATTGGAATAGGTTTCAAGGGGGGTCCCAATATTAGAATTCTAGTGTTTGGGCGGGTCTATATATTAGGGTCTCCCCATTTATGGAAAATACTAAATCATGTTCAAGGTCTGCGCGTCAGCCAGCAACAGCACAAGTTTCAACAGCGGTGCTTCTGCACATGCACCCTCGGAACCATCAAGGCCAACCCCTGAATCCTAAACTCTGATCCCGAAAGCTTATCCTTACTTGGAAGGTCAGGGGGACTCAGTAAGTAGGTTAATAATGGGAATAATTAGGGTTGCTATATGGGTTATAGGCATGATTAGCCTACTTGCTAAGTCCCCATGACCCTCCAAGTACCCTCTTACCAAAAACTTTGGGAAAGCTCTTAATCAACCCGCCCAGCGTCCGGCTCTGGAAAGGCATCGCCAGGCGTCTTGTAGACGCGAGTCTTGGCAGCAAACGCACATCAGGCTACTCGCCCTTTTTGTGGACATGATGATAGGTTGACAGGAGTCCGCTCCCTCTTGGGCACCCAAGTACGAAGAAACAATCTTGACAACACCCCCCCCAACATAGTGAAGACCTAAAGCAACAACAGCCTCCTATTCAAACAGGATCTACTTAGCCAAAAGACGCAGTCTTTGAGAAGAATACGTGGTTTGCGGAATGCAGGAAGAGTCCTGGTTTTCTACGACGAGCATTTACGGGTTCCCTAGGGGCTTCTACGGTTTTTGCACTCTGGGCGGGCTGCGGAATCAGAAACCTGTTCTGATCTTGTGTCCAGAAATCAGACATTTAGCAACAATGTCCTTCTAACCCAGGTTTTTGGAGCTGTACCTGCTTGGACAGGCTTTGGAATTTTTGCTCATCTTCCTGCACCTTGTCCGGAAGTGCAGACGGTTCAGGATTTTGTGCAGGATCCAACACTTTCCGTTCATTACCCTGTACATACTATGGAGTATTATACGTCAAAGGCTCTCTGAAGTCGAAAAAACGAATCTAGGACTGGATAGTCCAGATCTGTTTCATGAACCCCCAAAGCCATAAACCCTAAATCTACAAGTCTTCTAGGGTTTGAGGTTACAGGTCGAGGAGGTTTGGCGTCAATCCTGGTGAGAGCCTACAATTCGAGCTACTGTGCGTCTAACAGTAGGGCTACCCTGAACCCTACTATGATGGACCCCTATCTGGAAAGTTCTCATGTAAAAAGGAGATACAAGACATGCATGATGCACTGCCACGTGTGGACTATCTACTGAAGCTGACCATATGGGCATTAACATCTTTGCTGTTCCTCCCGCTTAAGGTGCAGGGCTGAGGGGTGCTACTTCTGGGGATCTCGGACTCACATCCGACCACATATCTTCTGCAGTCCTGGTCCCTGCTATAGCTGCTCAAAGTTTCAGATCTTAAAAGAAATGGTGGTGTTCCCCCTGGTGTACTGTAATCATCTAGAGCCAGGTTACCACTGCATGCCCCAGGCGCTCTTCTTGATATGAGTAGTTCTCGAAATTAGGGTCCCATTTTGGTACCCGTAAATATTAGGTGTCGTAAAAGAATATATACCCAAAAAAGGCCCATAATTTTGAGAACAACCCACATTTGCATAGCAGCTTTGGCTTTCTGTAGGTAATGTAGAGGCCTAGGTAGATAATTCACAATAGCATTTTGAGGCAATCTGGAATAACCCGTACCATAATTATACAAGGAAACCAGGACTGGAAACTATTACTATTATTGGGGCTTGTACATTGCTTTCCTTGCTTGACAAAATCCCTCCATGCAACACCCTGTTCTCTTTAAACTCCCTCTTGCCTAGTAACAAACCCGCACCTACCAATAGCACAGCACCGCCAGCATAGTACCATTGAACAACGGGGTGAGGACCTTCAAATGGGGGAGGGGATCAGGAAGCGAGTGAGTCGGGGACTGCGCACGCCACACCCAGAAATAAACAATAAACAGGACCCCATGTGTGGGAGTTGTCATAAAATGGGTTCCCTATGTAATACGGCCGCTAACCTTCAGGGCCCCTTAGAAAGGGACCAGAACTCTGAAAACCCACCGCGTGGGCTCTTGCTGGAAAAATGTTCTGTTGGGGCTACTGTGACAGGCCTCTGTGTGGCGTCTAGTGTAAGGTTAGCGGAGTGTAAACCCATGTTAGCACCGGACAAACTCTAGCTGTCTCGGATATGATGGCTGTGACAATGAAGCCCCATGCAGCCGAGACTCCGGTTGCAGCTGCAGTGCCTCTGACAGGAGAGGCAGAACCCCACGCAAAATCCACATGCAACATTGTAAAACTGATGGCCCGTCTTGGGAACCCTAAATATTAGGGGCCGTATTGTAACAAGAGCCCAAGCACAGGGTTTTGGAAGCTGCGGGGCAAAGTTGTCCTCCAAACTGTTCAATCCAGCACCGACCCCCCTCTCCACTTACCGCCCTTTGCGGAACTGAATCTTTAGCCTGGTCAAAATATGTGGGCTTAAACAAGACCTTCAACAGGTGACCTTTTCACGCTCTTCAAGCCGCGCTCGAATGCATGCGTGCGGCGGAAGTGCGTTCAACAACAACTGCCTTTAGGAAACCACCGCAAGCGTAGACTGGCAGCCCGTACTGTGGCCGCGCTCTCGAAACCATGAATCCGCAACGCCGCAACTGAAGTCAAAATTCCACCTCCAAACAAAAAGAAATCAGCCAAAGCAAGATCTTACCTTGCCCTTGAGAAAACGCTTCGCAGTTTGGGGCTTCAGGCACGACAAGGCTTGCATTTGCAAAGCCCTGAGCTGCACATACTGAGACCCCACAAAATGTGACTGATTCCGCAACAAGAGGATCTCTGTCGTAACCAGGGCTTCCTGCAGTCCTTCCGAACTTAAGATGCTCGTCTCGTCTGCCTAAGAGAAGGCACATGCAAATAACAACTGCCACGCGCCCTGAAAGAAGCTCACGGAAAAGAAACTAGCTTGCTGCCTTCAGTGCCAATTTTTTCCCTAAGGTTCCATGTGAGTACACGGTATATCCCTAGGCCCTAAATGTTCTTTTGTTTTGTGGGAACCACTTCCGGCCCCAAGTACATACTATATACCCACACGGTCCGTTTCTGAACTAGGGAAGTATTCAAGTCTATCGCCTCAACCGCGTCCGCACTGACCCATAACCCCTAAAACCTGCACAACCTTCGATATCACTGCGCAAGGTTCTTATGAGGGGGATCGTCAAAACGCCAAAATCATGGATTCTTTTGGGGGTACCCTAGGTATTCGGGGCCTTGATTTAATGGAGACCCCAAAAACGACCATGCCCCCGACAAATTATTGACCCTGAAGCCCAGGACCCTGAACCCTGAAAGGGCCTGCTGGTAGAGAAGGCTCAGCTTACCACGGTAGCGCTCACGTGAACGTGGAGTGAAGATATCATTCAGGTGGTTGACTAGCCATCCTCGCCCATGTCATGATTTTGGTAGCTATGTCTACAACCGTGACCACGGTGAACTACCATAGGCATGCTGAACTCCGATGGTAGCGGTGGCTATCAAAAAGATGGTTGTGATGATGATGATGATGATGATGGTGGTGGTAGCGGTGGCGGTGGCGGTGGCGGTGGCGGTGGCGGTGGCGGTGGGGGGGTGGTGGTGGTGGTGGTGGTGGTGGTGGTGGTGGCGGCGGCGGCGGCGGCGGCGGCGGCGGCGGCGGCGGCGTTAGTAGTAGCAGGGTTAATGGCAGTGCTAGAGGATAGAAGTGGTGGCAGTGC